TTTCCCTCTCCGTTGCTCTGGTTTCAGTCTCTTGACGTGTCACCTTTTTTATCAGGTAGGCAGTTGCTGAATTTCTATTGTGAAAAAACAAGCAGAAACCTTCTTGTCCATTTTCATTGAAAAAAGCTTCTCAGGATTTCTTCATACATCATAAAAGAAGCAAAAAACTGAAGAAGGCACAAGACTAATTCATTTCCAGTCACCTTTAATTGGAAATAAAATAATTTATTTTTGTTTTCAGGGCTTAATTTTTTCTTTTTAAATTAAAAAATCTGAACCACATGATATAGAGCACATTGGCTTCAAAGCAGCTCTTGTTATGTGAAAGCCTATTTATAAAATACAAGCAGGTCCATAAAGAGAGGAACAGGGCAGGGAGCTGTTGATATGGGAGGGTGCAGGAGTTAGGGTTGGGGAGTGAAGAAGAGGACGCTGTATGTGTAGGGCCAGGGTAGAGGGCAACCCCTCTCTCCCCAATCTTCCCCTTCCTGTCCCTGTCAGGGAGTGAGAGCAAAGTGCAGTTTATCTACCCCTTGCGCTCCTCAGCCAGTGTGAGCATTGCAGCAAATTGTGTACTTTCTCTTTTCTCCCTAATGAAAGGTCACAATTAGCAATGTCTTCATATGAATCTGGAGGCTCAGGGCTGGGGCAGTCCCAAATGGGGGTGGAGGAACCCAGCCAGCACCTTTCACCTGCCTGGTGATTCTGTCTCTCTTCTGTATAGTTTTGAGAAGCAATCCTAGTCCAGGAAATCCCTTTTTCCTGGAACAACCAAACCTTTATATACCTTTAAGTTAGAAGAAGCTGTATACTAAATTACCATTTAGGAGGAGTTCTTGAACAGAGAGACAAACTCTCTCAAATATATAAAAAAAACCCTAACCACCAACAAATGGTCTGGTAGCACTTTGTAGACTAACAAAACATGTAGATGGGATCATGAGCTTTCGTGGGCACAGCCCACTTCTTCAGATGGCCGGAGTCATGAGTTTGGGATGTGTACACTCAAAATAAATAGGAGAGGGGAAGGCGAGCAGGGAGGGAACAGAAAGGAAATGGGGTGGGAGACAGAGCATCCGTAAGTATCTGGAGAATGGGTACTTAAACCAAAGCAGATAAAAATCAAAGTATCCATTCTCCAGATACTTACGGATGCTCTGTCTCCCACCCCCCTGTCTTTTTCTTCCCTCCCCCCTCTGCTTCCCCTCTCCTATTTATTTTGAGTGTACACATCCCAAACTCATGACTCCGGCCATCTGAAGAAGTGGGCTGTGCCCACAAAAGCTCATGATCCCATCCACATATTTTGTTAGTCTATAAAGTGCTACCAGACCATTAGTCTGTTACAGAAAAAAAACAACAAACTCGGCTACCCCCTTAAGCTTCTCTCAAATAGAATGTGGACATTCAAAGCCCTTACATTTAATTTGTGACACACATTGCAGAGTACTGTGGTACAGATGCGATGTTCATCATAACATGAATTTTGTGATACAAGCAGTGTAGTTCACAGTAACTCATAAATTTCTTAAGACCAGAAGGGTCACATTCACATTACAAAATTAAAGGTTGCAAAACTCATTTAAAGAAAGGTAAATGTGTCCCATAACCACTGCTCTGAGATGTCAGGTTTCAGCCTCTCCCATGCTTTTATTGGAAAAGGGAAACTAACCACAAAAGAGTGCATTTAATAGTAACACTGAAACTCTCAGCTTTTGCTATGCTAGTGGGCATTGTTTCCTGAGGTAGCTGAAGGGAAACCACATGACCTGCAGCCACCACAAGCTGCAAAACTTTTCTTTTAAGCCGATATATTGTTGTCAAGTTACAGTCCTGGCTACTTGCTTGTGACAGTTTGCTTAAACTTGTTGATAGATAAGAAAGAACAGAAATGTACTGTGGTGAGAATGAAGAGCATCTGCAGTTGTAGCAGCGCTTCTATTCTTTCGTTTCCCTTTCAAAAAGGTAAATTAGCACTCTGAAGATTTGCCTGTGCTGTATCTGAAATTAAGGATGTCTTTGTGTCTCCTACAGTGTCTCCAGAATCCATCCAGTGACATCAAGTTAATTGCAGAAAAGATGATCTGGTGGGCAAATAAGAATCATCTCCCCTCTATGGATCCTCAAACAATTAAACCAATTCTCAAAACACTTTTGGACAACACAAAAGACAAAAATACCAGTGTGAGGGCTTACAGTGACCAAGCCATCGTTAACCTCCTGAAAATGAGAGAGGGTGAAGAAGTGCTTCAGGTAGGAACAAGCAAAACTTTCCTACCTAATGGAAGGCCATATCGTGCTGTCTTGCATATGAATAGTTTTAAATATTGTTGTGGGGTGGAGCTTTTTATTTTTGAATATATAAATGAATCTCTTGCAATTTAAAATATTACAAATGATGAGAAGAGAAGGGTATGGGGAATATTCCTTGGGCACCTAGTTCTTCATCCTAGAACAATAATCTTATAACACACTTCCATATTTCTCCATTGAGCTATCTTAGGGCCACGCATGGTTGCAATGTAGTATATGTATTACTAAAATCCAGTAAGCTAACTCCTCTTCTGTACTCAGCATTTAATAGCCACACCTTCAGAATACTGTGAGCCCTTGCCATACTGCTGATTATGAGGAGGGATATCCACATATAAACATTAGCACATTTGCCCAGCATTGCTCAGGTCTTTAAGGAGGGTCTCAGGGCAGCAAGGGGTGTATGGGGGTAGAAGTCAGGGGAGTGGGAAGGGGCCCTGGGAAGGGGACCGAGTATGTGTGTACAGGAGTGGGAGAGCCCATCTCTTCCCCTTCTCTCCCGCCCAGATTCATACCAGGGATGCTTGCTCTTCCTCTCCCTGTCAGGGCATGAGAGCAAAGAGCATAGCTCATCTGCCCCCTGAGCTCCCTAGCCAGAGTGAGAAATGCAGCAAACTGTGCACTTTCCCCTCACTCCCTGATGAAAGGGAACAACTAGTGATGTCCCTGTACAAATCTGAGCGGGGCGGTGACCCTTCAATTGCCTCTGCCTTGCCTAAATGGCATCTAGGAGTAGAGGAAGAGGCTCAAGGCTGGGGCAGTCTTGAATGAGGTGCTTTCATCTGCCTGGTGATTCTCTTTTTTGTTTGGTTTTATGAGAAGCAACCGCATACCAGGCACGTCCCACTTTCCTGGCACGACCAAACCTTTGCATTGGTGTAAGCCTGAGTGGAGAAACTTTTTGAGTCAGGGGCTGTTGACTCACAAAGTGAGAGGGGGAGGAAAAAAAAAAAACCCAAACCCCTCATTGATGTGGCCCCTGACTGAGAAGCAGAAGGACACTCCCCACGTTCCCCTCTCACCGCAGAGTCTGTGGGGTGGTGGTTCAGTTTAGGAGAATTTGTGCGCTCCTGCCCCTTGAGTGCAGGCTCCCCAATGCTGGGGAGGGAGCACTGAGCCTCAGGAAGGGCTGAACCCAGGCAAACTCCCAGGCCTGAAATTTCCCAGCCCTGCTTTAAGTTATGATAAGAGGAAGCTGTACACTGAACCGCACTATTTAGGAGGATTTCTTGAATAAATAGATACATAAATTCTTGAACTCTCTCAAATATAGATTTCTATAGTAATTGAGTTAGGGGCTATTGTAGAATAGATGAAGTACTCCTTTGCATGTCAGTGTCCAGAATACTTTTCCAGCTCTAAGCTATTTTTATTTAGTGCTTGTGTCTGAATTTGTGGAACCAGTTGAAATGCTTTGACAGGCTTATAAGTGTATAAGAATTTTCCTTTGTTTTGAAATTCATAGACTTTAAAGCCAGAACGGACTATGAAGGTAATTTAGTCCAGTGGCCCCCAAACCTTTGAGGGTTGCACCCCTCTTACATCTTTCTGCATCACCATCCTGCAGCGCATGAGGATGGAGGACATAGCTGGGATAAGGGAGCTGATGCTGGGGCCGAAGCTAGGGATGGGTTTGGGAGTGGGTCCAAGGCTGGGGCCGGAACTGAGCTATGGCAAAGGATGTGGGTGGTTTACCAGCCCAGCCAGAACAGCACAGGGTAGGGGGTGCTCCAGCCCAGCTGGACATAATGTTTAACCAGCAAATTAAACAGGATTTAGAGAAAGCTGGCACAGGGTTGTGAATGGAGCTGTGCCAAAGCTGGGGAGAGGGCCATGGAAGGAACTGGTAACTGAGGACGTGGTTGGAGGGTGGGACTGGAACAGAGTTGGGAAGGACTTGGTAGTGTTTTCTTCCTGCCCCCCATAGGAGCTGACCAAGGCCCTGCCGCAGAACTCCCCCTCCTCCATGATAGTCCTCTATGTTCCACTAGAGGGGCGTACCCCACACTTAGAAGACCTCTGATCTAGGCTGAACTTCTGGACATCCCAGGCCACAGAATCTCACCCATAATCTCTGGATGAGTTATTGGAGTCCTCAAATCTTGATTTTAAAGATTTCAAGTTTTCAGATAATCTAACTTTTACTCTAATTCAGACCAACAAGTGACCTTTGTCCTATGCTACAGAGGAAGGTGAAAAACACCCTAAAGTATCTGCCAGTATAACTGTGAGAAATTCTTTCCTAACCCTAAATATGATAATCATATGATGAGCATGTGGTAATCATACAATAAGCCTGTAGTCTTCTCGTTAATCATTTCTTTACCTGTCTTTCAATTCTTGTTTTTTCCAATTTAACTAATGTGGAACTGTATCAAATGCCTTACTGAAATCCAGGTAGGTTAGATCTACTGTATTCCTTTGACTAGAATATTGGCTTTCAAAGAAAGAAATCCAGTTTGTCTGGTACAATTTACCTTCTCTACAACCATGTCGTGTATTATCCCAGGTACCCTTTACCCTCTATATCCCACTCATTTCTCTTTCAAAATGTGCCCGTTGTTTCTCAGGGCATTTTTCTGTTCTTTCTAAATTACAATTAAATATACAGTTGCAGAGGACTTTTTGTTCAGTGGTTTTCACATCTGTTTGTATTAGAATTTGTGGCAATGTTGAATATTTCCAAAATAGGTTTTATTTAGTCTCTAAACCTGAATCTTGCTCTCTGTTATACCAAGGATATTGTTAGAAACGCTAATTCTAAAGATAGAAAAATTAAAAATGCACACCTGTGTTTAGTTATAAATAGAGGAAGAACATCAAATGCAAGAAGCTAGACAGAACAGTTACATATGAAAAGCAAGATGTTTACATTTGACTCCTTAACTGAATTTTATTCATTAAATCTTTTGGGAGAAGAATTACAAAAGTTCTCTTTAATACAACTGTAAATGTGGCCAGTGTTTCTCCTTTATATACTGGCATATATTCTATAAAATTCTGAATTTTGTTTAATGCTTTTTTTGTATAGAATGAAGTAGAAAAATGCTAATTTAGCACTGGGAGTGAATGTTTTTATTGGTATTTTCTTCTTCCCACAGTCTGTCTCTAAGATCCTAGATGCTGCCAGTCTAGAGCTGCTGAATGAGAGCTGCAGGAGATCTCTGAAGAAGCTTGCCAGCCAGGCCGATTCTGTTGAACAGATCGATGAAACTATACTGACGTGATATTTAAGATCCTGAAGAGAACAAAACACTGAACCAACAGCTGCATCAGCATTTCAACTCAAAAACCAATGTTAAATGTTTTCATTTTTGAAAATATGTTAATTCTGATGGGGGGCTTATGAAATGGGCTCCCAGGAAGTATTTTAATATCAAAAATATACCAGACTAGCCTTAATTAGACCCACATCCATTGAAAATTTGGTCCCCTTTTTGAAACTGAATGTGCAAGAGACAGTCATACCAATCTATACCAGTTAGTTGTAGCTGATTGTGAGGTGTGTCTTGAACATCAAGCTATGGGTGAAACCCATTTCCTTCTCAGAAATATATAAAAACTTTAATAAAGGAGCTAACACTCATCTTTTCTACAAATCTTGAGCTGTGGAAACAGAAATCTGTGAAAGTTAAAATGTTGTGGTTTTGTGTATTATCTTGCAGCTTGTGATGGTTCTGAAGACTGAAAATCCCTGTAAAACAACTATTTAAAATAGCCTTAGCAATTTCAAATGCAAAAGGGGGATTAAATGCAGATTGTTTGAAGATGGAATGTTTAATAAAGGCTTTGAATTTAACCCTAATGACAAAAACGCTTTTCTTTGCATATTGTCTAAATTTTGAGCCATCTTGTGCCAAATATATGGGAAAAGGTTTCTCCTGGTGTATGTGCTCTTTGATCCATTTTTGTCAAGATACTTGGAGTATCCAGTTTCTAGTGTATATAACATTGCAAATGAACAAAAGACCTTTCCAATATTGTAAAAAGCTGGGGGGCGAAGGAGGTTGTAACCACAGCAAGACACATGCAATAAAAACACCCCTGACAAGTATTGATTCCAACTCAATAATTTCATTCCCTGACTCCCACAATATTCTTGGTCAATGCATCTTGAACATATCTTCAGTTGCCCAGCTGTAGAACATAACCAGCCTTCAGTATTGTTACCTCTAACACTCAGTGCTGAATTAAGATTAGTTCTAAAGTTTACAAGATTTGAGACTCTTGACATTTTTTTGGTTGTTGATCTTTGTTGATCTCAGAGTTATTTATCTGGCTTTTCAAGGTTTTATTGTTCATCAATATGGTTGTCCCCATGTACAGAGGGGAAAGCAGAAAGCTCTGGTAGCAGGAAGCTGAGGTATTTTTGGAAGACAAGAAGAAATGTTTGTGTTTTCCAGAATTATTAAACAAACCACATCTATTTTATCAGATAAACAGGTAAAGCCTAAAAAATGCAAAGCAAGAATTTTTGTTTGAAATATGAAGATAACACTTGGACACCTCAGGAAGTAATGATGCTTATGGGTTCAGATTAGGATGAAGGGAGATGTGTATTTAGTTCCATACATGGATGTTATTTAACTGAGTATAAACTCCGGAGTGATCTCATGGGGGTTATTAATACAGTTCTACTGTAGCTGCCACTTGATGATTAATCTTTGTATGCATGCCCGTCAGTGTAAAATAATCTTTTTGCATATATATGCAACCACACTTAAGTTGGAGCCCTTGGCATGTGTTGTAAGTATCACTGTGGCCCTCCTGGCTTCCAAAGTTGAGTAGCCCTGATATAGGCCAGGCCAATACTGAAACTAAATAAGGAATTTAAAAAAGATACTAAAATAGAAAGATAATATCCTCTTCAGTGGCCTTTCTGGAGAGTTGGGTTTTTCTGTACAAGAGTGTAATGATTCAAAAGTTAGACAAAATGATCCTCTTGAGTGTCCATAATATGATTTGAGTCCTGCAGGATGAGATGTGTACTAAATAATTTAATTATCTAACTCATGGAGACTGTATTCTCTATCATGTTTTTATTTTGTTTTGCTAAAAGTTGATGAATTACATGTTTCTCAAATGAAGAGAGATTAATGGTCATGACATTAACATAGTTATAAAAGTGTGAAATTCACCCTAGAGCTGTGAAAGGGCTAAGTCTGGAATGGGCAAAATCAGGCCTGTGGGCCAGAGCCAGCCTGCCAAGCATTTCTCTCCAGTTGATGAGCAGAGGTGCCTCCTTACAGCTGGCAGCATGTGTTCAGCTGCCCTCCCCCTACCTTGCTCCATCCTGCCACTGAGCTGCTCCCAGGATACTCCTGCTAACTGTGCAGAGCGAAGGTGATGGATGGAGGGAAATGCAGAAGTCAGGGTTTCCCTCAGCTCCTGTACCCCATCTCTGCAGAGCCGGGGCTGGAAAGAGGAAGAGACAGTGGAACTGCTTCAATCTGAGGCATGCATGGTGACTCAGATGAGTGCCTTTCTTAAGAGGCAGTGAACTGGTTCTAAAATTTCAGTGCTCATGCCAAATACCCTATCTCGGCAAAGTGAGGTAGGAGGGAGACAACAGAGCAGGACAGCTTTCTCTGGTTTAGAGACAGTGTCACACATACCCAGTTATGTGCGGTGACCACCTATCAAACTCATTAAGTGCCCCTTCCCCCCTGCAAAAATTGACTCCCAGGCTAAGTGATAAAGTCTTGTGCAGACTCACTGCATTAAAATGAATTTCACCCATTGTGCATGGAGTTCTATTTTGTTAGAACAGAATAAATGACTGCAGTAAAAGCAACATTGTATGAATATGTCATGCACTGAAACAAACCAGAATGTTAGTAACATCTAAGAGGTACAAAACTTCAGGCAACAAAAGGTTCAATGGATATATTGAAAGTGTACCTATGTCAATACGGAAGACAGGCGGAAAAGGGAAGAGAATGCAGCAGATTGTAGTACAGTTATGTATAGTCAACTAGAAATAAAAACACTCAAATTTTACAATAACACAAAAAATTAAATATGATCAGTGGCTAACCCTGATCTGAACTGAAGACGGATTTTTTTTTAAATCAGTCTTCAGTGGAAGAGGAATCTATTTCTACTACTGATTTAAAAGAACTTTGAATTATCAAAACTGACAAGCACCTTATAGACTAACAAACATATCATGAGCTTTCGTGAGTAAAACTCACTTCATCAGATCAGTGGGTTTTACCATAAAAGCTCATAATATCATCTTTAATGGCAGCTCTACCCTGGGGATTTCAGAGTAGACTCCCCTCATTTTAGTGTTCACACTACCAAGCTTGTTTTGAAATATTGGGCTTATTTTGAAACTAACTCCTGCTTGTGAAGAGGAATAGGCTTGTTTTGAAGTAAATAACTTATTTTGAAATAATCTAGTAGTGTAGACATAACCTAAGGTGCCACAGGACTGCGCTTTGTTTTTAAAGATAACAACTAACACGTGTCCCTTCTGAGACCTTGAACTGTAAAGTTACCGTTACTGAGTGGCAGCTGAACTATATGTAGATGAAGAGGAGCACACAGGAATATATAGGGGAGATGTTTAAAGTTTTAACTTGCAAGATACTTTCTTTAATGGAAAAAAGAAAAAAAAATTGTGATAGTGTGAAATCTTAAAGTTTTCGGATTTCCAAATAAGTGAGTCTCATTTTATAGAAAAGCTAAGCTGTTCTGTAAAACTGATAAGCTGTGTCTAGACTGGCAAGTTTTTCTGCAAAATCATCTGCTTTTATGAAAAAAACTTGCCAGCTGTCTACACTGGCTGTTTGAATTTCTGCAAAAGCACTGACGATCTCATGTAAGATTGTCAGTGCTTTTGCAGAAATACTATGCTGCTCCCATTCGGGCAAAAGTCTTTTTCCAAAAAACTTTTGCCCAAAAGGGCCAGTGTAGACAGCAGAGATTTGTTTTCCGCAAAAAAGCCCCGATCGTGAAAATGGCGATTGGGGGTCTAGATTGGCCACGGATGCTTTTCCACAAAAAGTGCTTTTGCGGAAAAGCGCCCTGCCAATCTAGATGCACTGTTCCGAAAATGCTTTTAACAGAAAACTTTTCCGTTTAAAGCATTTCCAGAAAATCATGCCAGTGTAGACATAGCCATACTATTACAAAATGTCCATCTTGCAGAAGTAATCATATTAAGAACCTAAGAATGGCCATACTAGTTGAAAATATAGTAAATAAAATTGTCAGACACACAGATGAAGATAATTTGTAAGGGGGAAAGTCAACATAGATTCTGTAAAGGGAAATAATGCTTTACTAATCTACTAGAGTTCTTTCAGTGTGTAAAAAAAAAAAAAAAAAAATAAAAAAAAAGGGAAAAAAGCTCTT